GAGATATTAAAGAATTCAACGGGGAGGAACCAATGCACATGGCAGACCAATCTGCTTCTATTTCAATACCTCACTTATCAACTCATATCTCAACCCCCTATCATCTTTGTCTACTGGTAAAGCGCTGTTGCTTTCAAACTGCCTTCACTCTGGAACCAACTTGCCACACCGGTTGCACCCAAATCCTGGTGAACCTCTTCACATTCTGAGTTACCAAACTGCACCTACAGTAGTTCCACTAAATTTCTCAACCTATTTATCTCAGGGATTGTGTATATGGTGCTTGTCATAGCCTGTCAACAGATGCCACAACTCCTTCATTGCTGATTTTACTCTGTGATTTTGTATCTGATGGTGTATCTTGATGCAGATTATTGAGCCAATCGCCACATGAGTTGTTGGCAGTGACCTCTGACATTTCATCTTCTTTAGGTATTAGACAGAAATCTAAATAAAATTGTGAAGTTGGAACTGCCCTAAAACTTTTTGAATGCATCATACAGGCCTTTTGGTGGGATACTACTTAAGGATCATCAATGATTAGAACATATGAGAAGATATAGGAAGATATAAAGCGCTACACCAAAGCACCGAGCACCTCACCACTAGGTCTACCACATTTGTAAACAGCAGACCAAGTTACGCCTTCGGAGCATTCCAAGAGCCGAGATTCTCTCCCTTATCTAACCAAGATGTACCAGCTTAGCATTGTGGTAATTCTCATGCATTCTTTCAAATGTAAATCTAGCTGTGTAATAAGTCTATATGGTTCCCCATTTTTTCCCGGGGCTGCGTCAGGAGTCGGTTGTGTATGCTCGCTTGTGTGTGTGTATACCGGTGAACGAACCTGTAAACATATACGTTGGTTGCGCCCCGAGGTCGATATCTTGCGTCTGCTCTTACCAGAACCGTGGCGCGTGAATGGAACGCAGATTCGTCAAGAAATAGGGGTAGTTTGGTTATGGAATATGGCGCCCCGAGGCATTTTTACTAATCCAGAATTTTCTTTCCACACAAGAGATTCCCACTTGATCTTATGAAGATGGTAATGTATTACACGAAGGCTACGCATATAAGCAAAGCATACATATACACACAGCAAGCAAATATTTTCTGAAGATGCGATTCAAAACGGGCATGTTTGGGTTTCTCCCGTAGCTCCTACAGTGCTGAGAGCGGCCGGCTCATTAGGTATTCAAAGCAGGAAGGAGTGAAGAGGCATCCGATATCAGATAATAGCTGCGGATTTGGAGGACAGGAAAGGGATTGTGAGGGATGATGTCCCGTAGACTGTGAAGAGGATGAAATGCCCACTCCAAATCCATGGCTATAACCTATTTAGAATAAAAAGGAAAAAAAACATCTACTTACTACATATACCTATATGTATGTGTGTACGTTCAGAAAATTCCACATGCATGTATAAGTTAATTCATATTTGTTTTAGAAAAGGAACAAGACTGCTATGTTAGATTTATTATTTGACTGGAAGTCTATTGTTTTTACACTAAAATATTGAACAATTTGTAAACACTTTCCTTTTCACGTTTCCAATTGCTTTTAACTATGAAGACTAAACAACATAGTTATGATATTCATTATTATTTGTAGAAGGAAAACACCACATCTGTTTACTTTCCCTATTCTACCATCAACATAAATACATGTATACCATGAATGTTGCTTTATTACCTGGCCATAGTAAACACCTTGCGGTTCAGAGTCCTTTTTCACCTTATGATTCTGCCCTCATCTGCCTATACCTGAACGATAAGCTCTAGAGTTTAGCAGAGCTAACGTATCCAATTTGAATTTCTACCTCGCATCGCGTATTGGAGTGAAAAGCATTTAAGGAGAATTTAGAGGATGCATTTAACTCAATCATGGACCTCATCTCATTCCAATCAATAGCTAAAAAGCCAGAGGCCTGTCATGCAACATTGTTGAAGATTGTATCCATGTTTTGTATACCATAGATACAGAATTCTTCATAGCTCTGTTGTGCAGTGGGTGGAAAGATTGACGTATTGGTCCATCTCGTATCTGCCCACGAGCGCAGGAGCAGGAAATGTAACTAATTCGCTTCCATTATCAGCCGACGTCCGCCAAACAGAAGACCCCAATGTGCCCTTCTCGTTTGACTGATTGAAGAAGTGGAAATGCCGCGTGTATACCGTTTGAATTTTCAGGAGCTATTTGCGCAAATTGATGGGCCGCAAATGGGCGAGACATGCTACTAAACGAGAGGCAAAGTTGTGCAAACACAGCGACGGGAACGAAATCAAATCATGATATGGAATTTGGGGAATTATTTGATCAAGACTCTGGGTCTGTGCCGGGTTAGAAAGAAGCATCTGTCTGGAATAACAGAGAGAGTTGTCTGTGCGTGGAAAAAATAGGAATTTTGTGTCGATTGCATGTGCTGAGTTAGGTTTTTTCCCCCCATATGTTCTTCTTTTATGATCCGTTTATAAAGCTCCTTGTGTTTGTATACATCTATTGACGTTTTGTCAATTGACAAATGCCACCTACGTGAAGTGTTTATTTCTTTGATCTAATTATCTACATTTTTGCATGTGTTTACACCTTTTATCTTCTTATAAGACCCATGAAGTCATCAAAGAGAAAAGAGGTAGTGTTTTAGATTACCAGCCGATGAGTAATGGTTGAAACCCAGATAAATATGCAAGGATAATTAATTCTGCATTTAATAATAACACTTTCATTAAACATCATTGATATTAAAATATCTTATGTAAAGCATAGCATTCTGTAAAAAACTAAGGCAGGAAGTCATTTCAAGAATGGTCTTTGATCTGAAGTAGACAGAATTTAACAAAATACTGCGAAGTGTTTCATCATTATGTGTGCTAGGGGAAAATGATGACCAGGAGAGGGGGCATTGTACAAAAAATGTGCAACTCTGAAGATGATACCCGTATATGGTGGGCATAGACTCAAGTAGAGAATAATGACATCTTTTCGTCGGATAGGACTATCGATAAAGAAGCCCACAGGTGCAGAGTGATTTTGATGATACCCCTGGCCTATGCGGTATCAAGCCAATATATCCCAATCAGCTGCTAGCTACATCTTATCAAGTTTGTAACACATTTGTCACTGTCAACTGCCTGATGATACCAGGTCGCATGGCAGATCATTTGTGAGCTTCATGTGCAGATCTATCTCACCAAAAATAAACCAGTTCACATCTTGTCTGATGAGGGCCAGAAGGCATTAGCTCCATGTTGAAGTTCTCCGAATTACAACTATTCTTACTCTCGGCAGCTGACATAAAAACAAGATTGTTTTGAAGATTTCTTTTGAAAAGGAAAGAAAAGTCATATAGTCTGTTCGGAGCCAGAAGGGCATTAACTCATAGTCTTTTACACAGAGTTACTACCTTTCTGGCTTTAAACAGAACATGTTGAAGAAATGATTGCATGGTGGCCGCTCCCTAGCCAAAAGTGACTTTGGAATACACATTGAGTACATACATTAAACTGAATCAAGCTATGTCTCTTTAAATCCCGCTATGTATAACGAGCATTGTTGAGTGATTGTAATCATTGTACAAATGTGAATGCGATATGCAAATAGAAAGTACTTCAGTGCGCTTGAAGCTGAAAACCACTCCTGTGGACAACATTTGTGATATTGCTGTCATTCTCATCCATCGTTGAGTGGAATATGTAAGGGCGCTATCATGTTCTGTAGAGGATAGGGGGTAGAATAACTCAGTTCAAAGAAAGCTTGTTAGCACTTCAGAGTACATGGATGCTGTAGACAGTCCTCAACTCCTGTTGTTGCAATATGTATGAGCATAGCAGATATCAGATTACCGTTTACAATTGAATCTGGTTGAAAATAATAAGATGCGGGCAGTAGAATTAGTCTTTGTGGTCATTGACTCGTCTTGAACCTCAGAGTAGCAGAGGAGCACATACAGTCATACTTTTTCATAGTGGCCACACCTATTTAGTGAACCTGCTTGTAGTGGTCACCAATATTGTCTCCCCTTAGTCAGAAATATGTGCAGAAGAACCTGTTTAGAAAGGCCATTGGCCTATTGATTTCACATACATCTATTTTGTATAAATATTTGTATAGATTTGTTTTGGATACCCTGTTTACAAAGTCTACTTCCTAAGAGGCCACCCTCTCTGTTTCCTATGGGTGGCCTTTATAAACAGGTTTGACTGTAGATATGTATCAGCGTTTGATCTTATTTCCCCATGAGTTCAAATGAGTTCAAATCAGCTGAGTGGCGCTAGATCTCACCAAACCTCAAAGAGTTAACAATCTTTGTTTTTCACCTCGACCAAAAAAAGAAGAAGCCCAGTTAAGCGATGCTGTCGCCTCTCGATAGATAGGAGCAGGGAAGATGAGAGAAATGCATTAAGGAACTGCCACTGCTAGTGGCTATACTCCATGGTAATGAGGAGACATTCGATCTCCTGGGTATCGTAAGCAAAGATCTACCCATCCTGAGATTCCCCTCTCACGACAGCTAGGCGCTTATCTTGCGAGGAGTTGGATTGCATTAAAGTCCATTTGGACACCTACTTAAATCTAGACTTTTCAGCTTCTCTCCTCATGTTCTGTCTAAGTTATAGGAAGAAGATTCAAGGCGAGCCTAGTAACTTCTGGGTCATAGGAAGGAGAACAGATTATTGAAATGTTCCTCCATCAGCTTATGTAAAGGTTCTTTGTTTGTTTTCTTTGGTTGCCAAGGAAATGAATCCAGAACCCTCTATACTACTACACCAAGATTACTTGTTTACAGTTGCTTTTGAATTGATTATTCATGTTACAGAGTTTTATTTTGAATTTTCCAATTGCCTGGTCTTCTCAATTTTGAAAATGAACATTTTCCAAGTTGCCCATTTCTATTTATCCCTGTCTATGCATCCTTCTCTCCTGTCTTGATATCATTCATGCTTCTGTTGAACAAGGTATTTTTACAGAACATCTCTCTTTGTTTTCTTTCGTTTTTCCAGGGCGATGCACAAGCGTCAACGAGCCAACCCCAGCCTTCCGAAGTGGTCGGCCAAGCAGTAGCGGTAGCAGCAGGAAAGCCCGGTGAATCCCCCAAAAGACTTCATGTCTCAAATATTCCCTTCAGGTTTAGGGATCCTGACCTCAGGCAATTATTTGGGGTAGGTCCGCATGGACAGGTACTGTACACTACTCTCTCTTTCTTTCTCTCTCTCTCTCTTTCTCTCTCTACCGCTGCTGAGAGGTAGAAGGGTGTTACCTCGTTCAAAGTGGTACACTTAAGCACCCTTTTGCCTCTTAGCACAGGCATGCAATCTTCTAAAGATGTTAATGTATTAATGCATCAATGCATGAACTTATTTGAAAGATTTGGAATGGTGTCTAGAAGTCTTATCCACCAGCAGTATTAATGGCATGAAAACATGATAAAACAATTCACAGACAGATACGATAAACTATTATTAAAGATAAAGACCAGTTATGGTCATGCGATTGCATTGTGAAAGAAACGTTGTGAAATCGATCAGAAAAGGTTGATCATCTAGTATATAAGTATTGGTGTGTACTGCAAGGTTCTCTTCTGGAATCATAATAAAAAAAAAATGATAAGAAATTTAGCCCAGTCTTGGTAAAGTTACAAGCACTGTACACAGAAAGATGTATATGGGACTACGCACACGTGAGCGACACATGCGTTTATCTCTCACACACCAATAGATAAACTAATTTACCAAATATCTCAATTAGTAGGTGGTTTCCTGGCAAAATTTTATCATCATGTATTAGTGAAAACATATTCTTTTACATGATTGGTAATAAGAGCTTCCATTTTACTTTTTGAAATTGGGGCGTTTCCAATACTGGTCTTCACCTTTAAGTAGTGGTAAGAAAGTTGGATATGTACCGGGTACCTGTATTTTCAATTTTAATCTATCAACTATGTTTTTGAACTAGTCCAGCTCATGCATGGTTTGGAATGTAGCTTGGATTGTAATATTTGAATATCAGCATTGAGAACCATGTACCTGTATTTTCAGCGTTAATCTATATTTCAATGTAATTCATTATTTATTTCCTTTCTTTTTTCATCATTCCTGAAGGCCTTTGGCACCATTTTAGATGTTGAAATCATCTTCAATGAGCGGGGAAGCAAGGTATGTTTTCTTTCATTCAGTCTTTCATACACCACATGATAAATACTGTTTTATTATACCAGTACATACTGGATAATCAAACCGTCTGCTGAGAGCCAGAAGGATGTTAATACGTCTCCTTTTACACAAGATTTAATACCCTTCTGGCTCTCAGCTGACAAAACACTTTGAATGATCATCATAAAGAACAGATTTATATAACATTGAAGTTGATGCTTTGGTATTTTTTCAATATTCATTCAGCAAACAAGATTGTCGTGAGTAGTATTCTTTACTCAGTTTGCTGCCCTCAACAGATTTAAATTTTTTTTTTTTTAGCAAGTATTGAATCTCCAAATAATCGATACTTCCATATGAACATTTTCGGTGATACAATTGGTTTTATCATTTTGTGATTAAAAAATGGTGATAGTAACAACATCAATCCTCTGAAGACTTTAACTACTTTGAAAGATGGTGATGGGGGCGGGGGCGTGTATTCTTAATGATGGTCATTCAAAGTATGTGTAATTGAATATATTGTATGTTGAAAGGGTGTCGTGGTGTTGCACATGTGCTGTAAGAAACAAAACCAAATGTTACTCTAATTGAAAGAAAGCTATTACTCTTACCAGAGAGCATTTACTCAAGACTAAGAGAAAACATCTCCAAATCAAACATTTCTCCGCTGAAATGAATGATTCCTTCATGCCGTCTTCAATAAGATGACTGATAAAAAAAAAATTAATATTACAGTACTATGCAAAACACAACAGCCTTTCAGCAACTCAATAAAATTAAATGGAAGTGGTACATGCAGCAAGGAACTCAACAGTTTATGGTTCCGTGATGGCCTAAGGGTAAAAGACTACATTTTTTGATAGGGATTTTAATTGCGCATAATGTGGCCTAAAGGCATTAATGCAAACGTTTCAAAATTCAATGGCGCGCAACTGACAGAGAAGCTCTTCCTTGTATAATGTTGGCGCCTGCTTGGTGCAAAAAGCAATAAGGCATGAAAGCCAAACATGGAATAAATATGAAAGATAAAAACAAGAAGTGATATCAAGAATTATTTTATCTTTTCCTTCTAAAAGTTGAAGTGAGAACACTCATTAGATACATTTGAATGAATTGAAATTAGATAAAAATGCCATGTTTAGGTTGATTTCTTTTGCCAGTGTGCCACTTCAACCATTTCTTATCAACCAATCTTTAGAATATAAAGTTTAAGAACATTTTTTTTTTATTCTTGACAATTATCTTTTTTTAAGAACTGAATTTTGAATGAATGAATGCGTATGTGCCTGAAGTTATGAATGCCACAATGTTTCTTTGTCTAATTTCTCATCTGTCTGTCTGTATGTTTGTTTGTTTGTACGAGTGTATGTTTGTGTGCATGCGTTCAGACTTGTTTTTTCAAGTCTGCTATGTCAGTTACAGGAGGCACTTACATGGCGTCTTTTTTATGTCGTACTCGTCTTCCGTCCGAAAAAGCCGATTTGAAGATCATTTATTAATTTGAGTTATTAAGCGCCTGACTTGACAGAAATTCTATATCCAAAATGACAAGAAATATCAAAAGATAGAAGGCGTGTGATTGTGTTTTTTTTTTTCGTTTTGCCTGAAAGCATGTTTTGACCAAAAACAGATGCATCTTGATGTTGATGGAGCTCTCCTTATTACCATGGCTATCAAGGTGTTTTTTTTTATAAAAACTGAATAGGCCTTCATTTTTTTAATATCCAATCAGGGGCTAGAAATATTCCTGATCAGTTATATATTTGGAATAATAGGTCCTATAAGTAGAAAAGGGGTTTTGAAAATAAAAACAAGCATATGCAACCAAACAAAAATTGCTGTTGTGTAAGGGCTAGATTGACAAAAACTAAGTCAGTATTTAATTAGTGTGGGGTCTACAGATAGCAATTTATACCTTAGCTATAATGAAATTCAATTTTCTCTCTACCATTACACAAGATATGATGCAAGATCAGTAATCCATTTAATTACTTTTTCTTTTACGAAATTAAAAAAAAAGAACAAGAAAATAGATCTTGGTTATTTAATCAGATCAACTTGTCATGGGAAGAAATTAATTTACCAAAACATATTGGCTTGAACAATTTTTTGAGTATTAACAAATTATTAACTGGGAAGAAGTTAAGGAAATCCTGTCAAGAAAATTTCAGATGGGGGAAGGGGGTCATCAGTGTCTCTTTTGGGGGGGGGGAGGGGGGATCGGGTATTCTTTTTCTGTTGTAAGTAGCCACATAGGTAAGAGGAGAGCTTTTGCTAACAGTGGAATCGCATGAAGATTGTTTTAGTAACACTGAATGAATGAATGCTCCTCATTTTTTTCTGAAGCTGACCACATTTTTTTCTATCACATAAATGCATGCCTGATCTTACCAAAAATATAATCCTCAGATTTAAAAATTTGATCTGAGGTCTTGTGGGGTGGGGAGTGGGGAGGGGGGTTGATAGAGATGGGTAGGGGGTTCATTGTAGATGAAAAGATAGTCAAATTAATTTTCCATTCTTTTGTGTTCTACAAAGGTAACTCTAGAACACACCTGTTTTCTTGAGGTGTTTATATATTACCATGGAAACTAAGACTAACACGTTAACACTAACAAAATACAATTAAAGCATGGAGTGTTTGTTTTTCTATTCATATTAATGTTTTAGCCTCCTCTTTATCGGCCCTGATTTCCGCCCAAGAATCAAAAGTCCCTGTTTTTTTCAATATTTCTTTTGAGAGAAAACACAGTTCCAGAAATATTCTTTTAAAACCTGAACCCGATTTTTCTTAGTGGCATCACATTTCTTCCTTTTTTTATGAACTATTTGTAGTCTAGAAAGCAGTCTTTTTGCTTCTCACTCAAAATCACTCTTTCTCTGTGAATAAAAATCACCTTTTTCATCGCATTTGCTCACCCCAAATCCTTCTGCATTGCAAAATCACTTTTCCCTGTAAATATTGTAATTATTCCATTTTGCTTTGAATCAATAAGATGCTCAAAGTCACTGTTCAAAATCGATTTGATATAAGGTACAGGAAAAAGAAAATTACCTGGTATATAAAAGAGAGTATACATTCAATTTTCTGTATTTAATGTATTTTATATTATTTAAGATTTCTATGGTAGAAATGATAATCTCCATATCAAGGTGTATTCATTCTGTTTAGAAACAAATGTAACTATTTAGGGAACCGTGTTAGGTGTATCTTGAGCAATTTAATGGTTATTTATAAATTAGAAGATATGTTCAAGTAACATGTCTTTGTGTCACTTCTCAAAGACATGAATGCAATTTGTCAAGAATAGGTATTGTTGATATTTTATGTGGTATTTGTCAAATCATTTGTTGTTAAATTAACTCATTTGATTGGAGTGGAATAAGTAATAACAGTTGAGCATGTTTGTTGGATTAAACAAAACTTAAGTCAATAGGGGGGAAATACCTCAGCCATCAAGTAAATATAATGAGCTATACTGATAATATAAAACGAGTGGGAGAAAAAATCACCTGTATTGAAACATATCATATATATCAAAATATCTCAACTTTCCAAAATGAATTGATGAAATGAAATGAATAGAGTTACTTTTCCATAAAACATTTATTTATTTATTGTGTAACGACCCTCCAAGCTTCACTTTAGCCATTAGGGGAAAGATTTGACACTAATTTTGTATGGGCACTAGAAATGACAAAGGATCAGGCATGTAGGACTTTATTATAATAAATTCAACACTTCATTTGTAGCTTTTGTCAAGAAAATTAAGTGAATTTAGGGTTACATGATTCATAGTTGAAATGTTATCATGAAAAGCAAGAATAAGTATAGACTTACAGGAACATACATTCTTAGCCCCCTATTTTCTAATCAATTCAAAATTGATTAAAAATTGATATAACAGAAGAAGAAAAAAGGGGAAAAAAGAAAAAATAACTCTGAAGGAGAAAAGAACCAAATAGGATAGCAGATATTCTGTTTGTGTTCATGTCATACCATCATCAAAATTTGTCAACATACTGTTATCCAAGTGTTTTTTTTTAATAAGATTAATATAGTGCATGTTTTTTTTAAGGGGTCAGCTTCAGAATTTGAATGTAGGAGTGTTCCGCCCCCTGTTGCCTCATTGATGCATTTTGATCAAATTCATGTGAAATTATTCTAGTTTTTGTGATTTTGTAAATCAAAAAATTTACATACCTGTCGTAAATATTGATTCATCCTAAAACTTGAATGTTATCATTTTATTTTGATGAAAGAACGTTGTCTCATTGTCAGCGACGGATTTGAATGTTTGAGAAATGATTCCAAATGTGTTCTCATAAATCATGTTTGTGAAGTAAAAATGTTATAAATATCAAATTGTTTAAATGTAATGTAAATCATACATCTTGTCATTCAATGATAGATAGAATGCTATCAAATTTGAATGACATCTGATACATGTGTGAATATCTGTGAATGCTAGCTTTCTATGAATTCTTTTGATAGGATACTTTTTTAAAAAATCATAAATTTTACATATTTTAATAAAGCTTAAAAAACAGTATCATGAAGATGTTTTTTTTTAATTAATGAATTTATATTTTATTATCTTTTTGAATTGGAAGAAATTACTAGTTAAGGCTCATTTTGCTCCATTTAAATAATTAATGATACATTTTGTCAGCTTAAAATTCAATGTTTTTGAAAGATATTGAAAACAATATGCAAACCTGAACCTTTTGATATTCAATTACGTTTTTATAGCGAAGAAAACTCTCATTTGTTATTACATTGCTAGCTATCATTCAATGAACGTTTTGTGATATTCTTTTTAATGCATCCATTTTCTTTTGATTCATTTGCACATTGCATTTTAGAGCTCATCTGACCTCCTTCTTGACCTACACTTTGAACTCTGACCTCTGCACGATGCATTCCGTGAAAGAATGTTCTCTCTCCTCTCCCTTTAAAACTCCCCCTCTTGCCCCTCCCCCTTTTCAAAGTTTGATACTATTTGTGATACCCCCAAGCATTATGTTGCTCCAGAGTTGCATTTTAAATTTAATGAATATTTTTGATGAAAATTACCAATGAAATTTTGATTTTGATATTTTTGCCAGTATACATTTGATGTATTTGTGCATATGCAGACAGTGATGCACAAAATTGTAACATTATCCTGCTATTTGATGTACCGTCACCACAGAACGTATTTGATGCTTTTTTCCCATTAAAATGCCAATGTTAACCTGTATAATGTATATAATTGTTTTCGTTAGTCAATTTAGTCATTGTTACATTTCATGTGAAAGATTTCCATTTCTTAGTTTGAACGTGATTATTTTTGGTCATTTGGATCATCCCGTTTTTGCTTTGGTGACACATGTTTTCAAAATACCATATCAAATTCATCATTATTTCAATGACTGTGTCACATTTAGAATAGAGATTTTTCCTATGGCTGAATTTAAATCCCCTTTTTGAAATAAAGTTATCTATCTTACTTTACTGAGAAGTACAAACCAGAGAGATGAAATTAGATTTTTTAATTTTGAATAATAATTGGGTTGAAAAGCAACAGTCCCTTACTAAAATAAAGAGAGAAGCAGTCCTTTTTGCTTTTCCACAAATGCCCCCAAACCTCTCCAAACCCCTTTTCTACCTGCCATCTACAAGTAGTTCCTTTCATCACCTATTTTCTTGCTTTTATCCTGCTTTAAATCCTTTCATGGCACACCTAAAACATAAGTTTCCAGCATAAATCCCTTTCTCACAGCATCATCCTTTACTGCACACCACACTTTTAATCATATGCACACTATTTGAAAAAGTATTGAAAGATCTAAAGAACTAGATCAAATGTGTCATCAGTCATTGTCAGTGAAATTTAAAAAAATACTGAATATTCTTTCCTCAATAGGTGATTGTGTTATGAGCTTTAAAATTTATCTTGATATTTCAGCCAATGACTTCATATATTTGATAGTTTGCATTACTTTCATATAGAATTTGGCATTAAAAAGTAGTCAAAAATAGAAAATCATATCACCCAAAATCAATTTTGACAAATAAAAATGAAAATTTTGACAGATTTTGATTTTTTTTTCTCAATCAAGTCTTCTATATATTATGAAAATATTAGTAAATTAGCTTTGAATTCATCAGACTCTTTTATACTGTAATTACTGTAACAATGTATTTACAATATGCTGCTCACCTATTCCCTCTTTCTATCATTTGCCATTCACGCTTCGCTTCCTACCTCATCTCCATCTGCACCTAACCCTACCCCTTTAAAGATTTCCTTTTTTTATAATATAGTAAATTACGATCGACATCTAGTTTTACAATCACATCCTATTTGGTATTAATATATTTTCTTTCAATTCCACAGTTTTATGTCTATCAGTGCAATTGAATTGAACTTTTTGGACAAGTGTTTCACATTTTAGAAATAGTTAGTTCTATAGAACATTGAATCTGTAGAAAATTGATTACACCGTTAATTGATCCACATGGTTATCACATTAAGATGAGTTCAAAGATATTCATAACAATTTTTTAATATTTGTAAGGATTCAGAAGTTTGTTTAATGTGTAGATTCTCTGTTATGTTTATATCAGTTTCATTTATGAAAATCAAAAATATTATCTAAAAAAGATAGTTTCTACATACAGTTTGTCAATATTGTTATGACATTTTCAAACAATTGGAGCCACTATTAAAATATTTTTTCTCCCTATTTCATATTAATATGTGCATTCTTTTGCTTTGCTTTGCTTTTAATCTACTAACACATTTTCTTATTTTCCTCCATGATTCTTTTACCCTAAAAACTTTCATTTTACACAAGACTCTTTTTCCCTTTCCTTGCAATGCTTCTGTCCCTCTCATCCCATCACTACTTGCCTTTAAAGGTAGAAATCACTCTTTCACCATTTCTTCACTTGTGATGCCTGCCAAGAACTTCCCTTTCCCACCCTCGCCCAACCCCACCCCTCCTCTCCTCCCCCTCATTGAGTGCATGAGGAGAACACAAATAACCCCTCTGCTCATGCACTGCTCCACCCATACCCCCCTTTACAACCAAAATCAGCCAGGTTTCCCCCCTTACAGGTCACGATTACTCCAAAGAACTACTTCAAAATGACCATTCAATTCTCATTAATAACCAAACTTGTGTTTTCTCTCTTTCTCTCTCCATTTAAGAAACAAAACCATTTTTAAAATTCAACTACCAACAACCAGAAAGTTCTCTGCATGAGCAAACTATATAATGTGTTGCATGTTATCTGTCTTGTTTATCTTCCCATGCATGCAGGGGTTCGGTTTTGTTACGTTTCAAAGTAGTTCGGACGCCGACAGGGCACGCGAGAAATTGAACGGCACTATTGTTGAGGGGCGAAAAATTGAGGTGCATGTTGTAAGATTTATTACTTCCGTATAGTAACCACCACTCATTATTTTTTTCTCTACATATTTTTTTGTTGAATTTGTTGAATTTTTTATTATGATCCTGCATCCGTCCAAATCCTCTGTTTTATTTCTTTATTGGCTAAATGGAGGATGCGGACTGATGCTGGATATGTGACCTGACTTTTTTTAGCCAGTGTATGTTTGTTATGGTTGGGGTGATGTCATTTTTTGTTCACACCCTGCATGATATACGCTGGAAGTGCCTCTTGTTGAGAAAGTTTTTTTTATACTTCTTGATGAGTATTTACTGGAATAATCATAATAATAATACTATCATGCTAACCATAGAAAACTCCTTAGATATTCATCTTGATATCATTTGACCAAGCCAAGTCAGACTTTTTCAAGCCCAAATCGACCCAATTTTGAGCCCAAGACAAAAAAATTGAAAAGATGGAAATTACCAGCCTTTAGAAACACCCTTTGTTCTCATTTGGACCAATTTTTAAATCGGCAATTTACCTACCTATCAAATGCATTTATCATTACCCTCCCCCCCCCCCCCCCACAAAGGGAAATGGTCATCATAATTACTGATGGACTCATTGTCACTCCAATTTTCTGCTGTGAAATTCTTTTACTAAATGTTACCGTTTTTCGATAATAATTAAAGAAAAAATATTTTAAAAGGCTGGATGAAATTTTGCTTTGACTTCCAAACTGGACAAATTTTACTCACAAAAATGGGGAAATTCCATTTGATTTCCACATTCCAAACTGCCCCCCCCCCCCATTTTTTTTAATGCCCCTATGTAGGACCCTGGTTTGGCCCAATGATTGGTGAGTGTTCTTTCTCTCTCACAAAACACCCAAACAAACAAACAAACAAAAACCACCACACCGTCATTCTCTTTCGGTCAGACCATGAATCTTGTCGAAGGCTAACGTCACAAATGGGTTGTAGCCTTGTGTAGCCCGCCCCGAAGCATGGGCCCAGTGTATCGGAATAGGTGAGGGGTAAGTTAGCTGTGCGTCAAATTGACAACCAATACAAAGAAATCAGTGGAAATGAAGATTCATGGAATTCTTTTTAATCCCCATTTTTATTTTGAAGTATTCATTTCCTGAGTGTCACATTTAAAAGTAGATGTTAGATGACCAAGAAATATGTAGATTAGTTTGTGGTATTGGGTCATGAGAATTTACCCCTCTAAGTCTATTATAAGATAAACGTTACAATCTGTAAAACTCTATCGCCTTAACTAAGATCCCTTTGTAGAACTTTGCCAGTTTCCACAAGAACATCCAAATCTGAATATCCCTGTATTGTTGGGATTATGCAACCATGTAAACAGATTGACTTTGAAATTCAAGGAATGGGCTAGTTTGGTTCCAAACTCTGTAGTAGGTTGATGTGCTGAGAACAAATAAGCTTCCCCTTTTTCATGTAGAATCCTTTGTTAGGACTGATGCCTTTTAGTGGTGTGATTGCTAGTACATATAGGTTTGCCTGGTCTCCATGACAACAGCTTGATGCTACACAATCAACATATGGCCTTGTGTATGTGTCCTTTACATATATTTTTTGTATATATGATTTTATTTTTAATTGTGACGAATGTATTTGATTTCTGGTGCACCTTTTGAAAGTCATATTAATGAAATCAACTGTACAAGAAGAAAAGAAAGTAGACTGAAATATTTGCCTGATTTGATGATGGTGGTCCAGTGATACGTTATTTGCCTGGCTCTATTTTTTAAAGAAGTCTTGCTGAATGTTAGCACCCTCCTTTTGGACTGGAATTTGATGGATAAGCAAAGAAAAAAAGGTAAAATTTGCCCCTCCCCCTTTTTTTGGCTGCTGTACTTTGTGATTTGGACTGTACACCCTCACTCTATAGATGTTATCACCCATTGTATGCGGCTGCAGCCAACGACGTCTGATCTTTTTATTTTTTTCTCAAATTTCCATCACCAAACTCTGGACAACCCTGGTCCATGGCACCACCTCTCTTTTCCCTCCAGGGTCGATTATCACAGTACACTTGCTGAAAGTCTTGCGCACATGCCCCCTCTCTCTTTCTTTGCATGCTCGTCTAGGTTGTTCCTTACCAGACGGCTACCTTCTTGGATTCTTGCAGGTACCTTGACAGCTTCTAGAGGGCTCTACAGAGGAATCGTCACCTAGGCTAGGGTTACCCCAAAGCTTGTGTCGATGCGCTGCAGCGGTCGAAGATATCGTTGACATCACAGTGCTTGATGTGAGAATGAGATCTAGCCTAACCTTATATTTTTACATTCCTAAACTCTTTGCATCATGCATTTGATTATCAGGGTTGTAGCTGACTGACTTGCAATTATGCCGTGCCCACACACATACACACACAAGTAGCATTTGTACCCCATTCCTCCTAAACGTACCCATGAAAACGATGGTTTGACCCAGAGAGAGATGCGGATGTAGGCTTGAGGGTCTGGTGCTAGTGGCTTGGAGAACGAACGAACGCCAGCCTGAGATTCTGCTTGACTGACTCATATGTTTCTAAAATAATAACCCTGCTACCCAGCATGCCTTAGTTATCATTGCAAAGCATCATGGGAGGATATGATGATGATTGGTGATTGTGATTAACGTGCTACCTTGTCGCTTGTTCAGTACACCTTGCGCAAACGTCCTGTAGCATTCATAACGTGATGTCCAACGGCTCCTTGTGACATGCCCCTGTGGATCTGCCCTGCTTGTTTTTTGTAGAACGCACGGCCCTGCCAGGTTCGTTCTGTCTTGATGTGCATTTTTGAAGGTCACGGTCCATTTTCCCTCCCTGTTCTGGTGTTGCCTGATGCTTCAACTTGACATGGATTGAGGCTGGAATGTTTTTTTTCTTCTCCCAGGCACTTTGCTTCTAGTTCTCTAATGAAACAAAAACATAGTGAACAGGAGGTTTGATACCCCTTCTTGTGGTTTTGACAGCCTGGCATGTGATTCTTGGCAAGCTACTTCTCTTATTGGGTCATTCTATCTTGTCTGTTAACCTCTCAGGATGTCTGTGGTCGCTGTTTATCTCGTCTTTCTTGCGGAGTTGTCTCTCGCTCTGGAGGAAATTTTCACTCTACCGCTAACTTGAGATGGGCTGTAATCTGAGCCTTGCAGTGTAGGCCTTGCCACAGGAACTTCGCCACAGCTCAGAGGGGAATGGTTAATCGTTCCGACAGGTGTTGGCAATTTGATCTGCTATCTTTGTCAGAGATCCTTCACCATAGGTACCCTACAATTAAAAAAGCAGGGTATGCATTTCCCCCTTTTTGCATCAACCATGATGCAATACCTTTGAGCAGTCCCATTGGTTTATCTTGCAATTAGTGTTTGTCTCATTTCCCTGTACCTTTATGTAAGAAGCTCCTGATTGCATTGAGTTGTCCCTAGTTGACCCTGTAGGAAATACACTGTAGATCCATAGAGATTGCATTGACTACAAACCTCAGAAGATTAGAGGGGAATGTTGAGAGAAACTGCCAAAGGCATCAGTTCTATCGTATGCAAATCCTGAAGCACTGATCAATACTCGGGAGAAATCAAAGCCAGAAAGTCCTCAAGTTTGGATGGTACACCCCAGATTTTTTTCCCCCTTCAACCCATGTCATTGATTGATGTGTGATAAGTTTGTCTGTGTATTTCAAGCTTTAATCCCATTTCTTGCTGAAACTGGCAAAGTTGAAGTTATCCCCTTGCATATTTTGTCCATGATATCTAAGACCTTTTTACATCTACATGTGCTGGATTCTGTATACAAATTTCCAAAATTCTGACAGATGAGAAAAGAATCAGGTGCTAATTTGAATGGTCAATAGTCAGGAGAAGATAAAAGAATTGCTCTGAAGTAAAATCCATTCAGAAAGATTAAGAATACGTCCTCTAAATATATGTGCATTTGCACACCAAATCTCCCCCTGTTGAATACACTGAATCCATTACTGCCCCTAAATGTAGTCAAGCAAAATAAAGGTGATCCCAAACAGTATTATGTAGATACCAGCATACCTTCATCAATGGTTTAGTCAAAGGATACAGACAGATCAACCTGAAATCCTAGGACCACTCAAAAGTACAACCTTACCAGCTTCCCTAGAACACACATTCAATGCTATCTAAGGTAGATCTGAACGTGTTGCCAAACCCAATACAGCCTGTCAAAGAATAGGTACCTGAGATATCAACATAAATGTGATCTGGTTTAGAACACGGTATGTTCAGTAACCTTTTTCAGAGAGTAAACGGTTTCCAGGACATGTAATGTAAGAGGCATTTTCAGGGTCACCCCACACCATTCGACATAGCATTTTTTTTTTCTAATTGATTTCCTGTAATGAAATGTCACATGCCTAGTCATGCTGTCAAATGCCAACACTTAAAGTTGTATAGTTTAAGAGTAGTCTACAAACACTTTCATCTGCCAGTGGAAAACCAGTCATACACAATGTCTCAAGCTTTTAAACATCATGCAGTCTTTGTCCTGTCATTGCGAAACTGCTTTTAAAAACCTTATTGTGAGCAAAATAAAATGCAGTGTGTCCGTAAGCACTACAGATGCTAAAACGGTTCCTTTTCTTCCTCCTACAAGTTTCAACAAACTGAATTCCGAGTGATTGATTCACTTTTGTATAAAAAAACAACGTTTCTCTCGGCCGAAATTGCATTTTTGGCGCTTTGCTGATTAGTCAGGAGAGTTGCTATATAGCCAAGGGAGTGAGGGCAATATATTTGAGGACACAAAGGATAAATTGCATTGTATTGATTGGTTTTCTTGGTAAATGTATCTAGGATTACTCTTGCCGAACTCTTGGAGTTTGACCACATTTTGGATCAATCCAGGATATCAAACTTCATGAGTTTGGTTAGAGTGTTCTTGTTTTTTTTAAGGATTTTTTTTGGTCATCCTTTTTTTCATCAGCAAAAAGTATCTGCAAGCGTGGGCATGTGTAAAGGGGGTAACTGTTTTCCAAAATGCATTGTTACGTCCACCAAGAGCACAATCATTAGGTATCTTCTTGTAAATGTATTATTCTACATCACTGTAGCTAAATATCATTTTGAATATGAATTAAGGAGAATAGTTCATGCAATATTGAAGGTAAGAGATTACCTTACAAATCAAATTGTAATGTAAAAAAGAATGACCTAACAATGAAAAAAAAAAGGAATAAATTCTGTAAAAGAAAAACAAGAAAAACAAGTGAAATGGAGTTACGTCATTACTAAAACCCTGAAGAGTGGAGTTTAAAATCCATCTGTAATTGCCATACCCCCTGCAGATACTTTGTGCATTATTTCTTCTGTTTAAGCATAGAAATTATTATTGTAATGCAGTTTGTCCACCACATTTAGAATGTAATTGCAGTAAATCAAATTATTTGGAGAATAAAACAAAAGAACATGGCTGAAAAGGAAATGGTCATATAATTACCGGTATATAATTTTGTTAAAACACCTATGTAGTAGACTGAAGACTAAAAAATTATATAATATTTTCCAATGCATTCAGCCTCGAGACATGTTCATTACAAAACAAACTCAACCACTACCCCCCCCCCCTCCCCCTTCCTCATTCCAAAACAAAACAAAAAATGGTAAGGAGGAAAATATTTGCTGTTTTTTGCATTTGATGAGAAATTTAGAAGAGCATTGCTTACCCCTAATTCAATTTGTAGAAGAGATTGTTTCTGCATTCCCACTTTGTCTCTTTCCTGATTTGACTTGTAATAAAAGCAGGACGTCTACAAATTGTCCTGCAAACGTGTAAAAGGACAGGAAATTAAAGCCCAAAGGCTGTATATCAAACTGTCAGAACACGAGGACGAAGGGGGGAAATTCTCCAGTTTTATTCTTCACTGCAAAGTAATTACATTTGTATATGGTGGACAGGCTTTGTAAGAAGTTAAAAGAAAGTGAGATAATTGAATCAACAGTTTTTTCTGATCGATTGAAATGTCTGCATTTCATATTTATTCAGTGCTGATTTTTTTTTCTTTTTCAAGTGTTAAGTTGTATGGTAATTAATAGAGGCAGTATTATGTCTATTTGGTATCACTGAGTGAAGTTTGATATTATGTAAAAATGAACATGACCATTATGATTGTAGAAACAAAGGTTAATCCAGGTCAACTGACAATCTCTGTTTTAACTGCCGTTTGTTAAACTCAAAACGCTAAAGCTTTTTAACACCTCGAATGAGGCGTTGGTTAAATCTTTTGGTCAGATTTGATCCTTTCTTCCCTTAGTGACATAGACACGCTTCATTGTAAAGCCATTATGCAAAAGAGAGATACAAAACTGGGGTGATGGACTGAATCTTTTCCATCTTGCATCGGAAAAAAGTCTAATGTATCATTTTATCCTGATCTACAAGGAGACAAGATTCTTTGCTTGTCACTTACAAAGTGAAATAAGGCTAACCAAAGTAGATAGGAGAAGAAAAAAAAATCCCTCATAAAATTATGACACATTAAACCCTAAGATATAAACACAACCAGGGAGAGATGCACGACAGGAGATGCACCAGTCAGCCGATGGTAATAGTGTTTCTCTCGCCTGGCACCGACGCGAGAGAGCTATAGGACCCCATCCGGGAAATTAGTCGGCCAACAATTATTCATGCCAGCAGGGTTTTCTTCATCATGATTTATTCAGCAGCTATGGTCTCGTGCCGACACCAATTGTGGCTTTAAAGGAGCGCACCGCCATGCGCCCTTTCTCTGAAATCTCTGGGATATCTTGCAAATTAAGAGCACAATTAGAATGACTGCGGGGGCTTCCATTTTGTAAATGCAGCTAAATGTCACCAGCTGATTAAACGGTTTCATCATTAGGGCATTCAAACCAGAGATTGTTAACTTGACGGATGCATTCTTACTCAAATCACCAAATCTCAAAATACTGTAATTGGTCAATTCAGAAACAAAGATTTACTATTTAATTCTTCACTAAACAAGGGATCTTCAAATGTGACAGAATAATGCATTAGAAACTGTAGACATACATCCTTGTCATAGAATAGATTGTGTAAAAAAATGCATCAGTGATCCTTGAAGGAAAACGACTGATTAATGGTGGTCTTATCCAACACTCAGTGATACCAATATAGACACTTTTTTAAACGTAATCCTAGGTTATTATAATCTTATCTACTATTGAGCATGTTTTATCATTCTTATTTGATTCTAAAGTTCATTTGTAACATTTCAATGGTTTAGATTGAGAGCACATTTTCAATTACCCCCTCCCCCCCCCCCCCCTTGCATTCAAGAAGAAAAATCAACTGCATCCATCATCTTGAGATGGTGCAAATGTGAATCAGATATGCCGTCTCAAATATCACAAGGTTTAGCTTACTATCCACAGGCAAAGAGCGGATAGAGCCAGAAGGGAATTTATTCCTTTCATTGTGCATAGAATTAATATCTTCCCTGGCTCTGGGTAGATTAAATATCCTACATTAGTAAGATCTTACTTAAACCAAACGAAAGCCTGTCATTCTTTTCATTGTGAGTAGGCAGTGTGACTTACGATCCTACCGGTAATTAGATCTTAATTTTTGGTCAATATCCTTGCAAAATTTGTCCCCCACCCCCCCCCCCCCTCCCCTTAAAGTTAAAGCTGAAAGAAATGTGCTTTCAATTCTTAAACCCAGCTCTCATTAACAGCATTCTAACTTTGATTTCTGGGTTGATTTCTTTCCCCCACACGCAGGTTAACAATGCCACAGCTCGGGTCATGACTAACAAAGTCAAAACAACCACTGCCAACGGTGAATACCCCACAGGTAAGTATCTAAAAATGATATTCTTATGGATATTGATATGAGAGTTATATATGATAGTTTGAGTGTGTCTTGTTCATAAATTTTAATTATTTAGATGAATACACACTTGTGTTTTGGTCTACATTACTACCTTTCTATCTCCCTCTCTCTGTCTCCCCCTCTCCCTTTATCTTTCACCTCCTCCCTCTCTATCTTTTTCTCCCCTCATCTCTTTCACTTGCTCCTTGCTCCCCTTCTCCCCCTTTCATTTTCTCTCTACCTTCTCCCTCTGTTCCTCACCTCGTCTCATCAAGTGTCTACCATACCTCTGTATTACCCTTTTCACATCTATTTTTCTTAACCCCGGACTATCCTTAACCCCATACTATCCTTAACCCCATACTATTTTTTTTGCTGTTCACATCTATTTTCTTAACCCCGGACTATGTGCTTAGCCGGGGTTAAGAAATTTCACGCGATTCACACTACGTTCGCCTTAGCCCCGGACTATTCGATAGCTCATGAATATTAATGCTTTTGCTACCGCGCATGCGCCTTTCGACTAAATGAAGGGGAAAAACCCGCGCGCTAAATTCAATATAAATATAAATTCAATTCCGATCATTCCGGTGTAAATACAATTAAAATCAGGAGACAATCAATGCAACAATTGAACTATAATCAATATCGGTCAACGAACTCTTTGCTTGTGGTAAAAAGACCAACAATATACAGTACGGTACGTAATAATTTTAGCTCGCTCGTGTTGTGTTATCCAGCCTTGCGCAAAGCGTTTTCCCTTTATTATTTTACCGATACAAATCAATTACCCATTTTTCATCCAATTCACTTGATAAATTTACCTACGTAAATATGACTGATAATGATAAATGCAATAAAAAATTATGAGCTACATGTTCTTTCACTATTTTTTCTAATCAATTTTATAATAAAGATTTTTTCATAATGACCTCTGCCTCGTAAAAGACTAAACGTCAATACAGAGAGCATGCATGCGTAACGTGAACTGCATGCATGCGTAACGTGAACTGCATGCATAGCGCGCGATAAATGCAAATTCACGACCACACGACCACGCTGTCTGTGATTGGCTGTTGCTTAGCCCCGCTTCTCCTTAGCCCGGTTCGGATTCACACTACGCAGCTTAGCACCACAATTGCCCGGCTAACCCCGCAATTGCCCGGCTAACCCTGCTATTTTGCAGGGCCAGATAGTCCCGTACTATTTGTGGGGTTAGCCCACTTTGGCAAAACGTAATGTGAACAGAAAGCCGGCTAAAATTACCCCGGGTAATTGGTGGGGCTAAGGAAGGAATTGGTGGGGCTAAGAGCCCCCTTAGCCCCACCTATTTCCCGGGGTTAAGCAATATTTGGTAGATGTGAAAAGGGTATATGTATACCTCTCTCCTATATCAAGTTTATGGGTGTACTTGAAAGCAACTCCAGGGAGATAATGTCTTTCCTCCGTTTAAAGTCTAAAGGACGCTATGTCATTTACTAATACAAAGCTAACACCCTTCTGGCTCTCAACAGATGATGCATTTAAGGAACAACTCATTTACTACTTCCTATAAACAATTTGAACCATGAAGAATGTTTTCTAAAGACCCCACTTCAGCTCTCCCTTTATCCTCCCTTCCAACATGAATACCATCATGAAGCTCACAGTCAATAGGATCTGTCACTAGAGCTATTTCCAGAATGCCAACATTAAGATTCATCCCGGCTGGAGCAAAAATTGAAATTGATTGGCAAAAGCTTGCGACTCCCGCTGCAACTCCCGTATCGCCACACAAGGACCCCATTTTATAACCAGCTGAATGCAAATTACTTTTCCTTCCATCGTTCATTTGTTTGGGGTATTTTTTGCCTTGGCCTTATCTCCAAAGAAAACTGTTATTCTAGTGACTCATATTTCTATCCTTTATGAGCTTGGGGATGAGCCAATATGGAACTTATTCCGCTGCATAATTCAAAACATCTTTGAAAGCTATCTATCCGACAAGGAGCAATTCATTTTGGAATCTCGCTCCGATGTGGGAATAATTTGTCAATGTGCAGAAAATTGGTTATCCAGGGTGAATTCTGGACTTGTAATTCTGTAAAAGAAAGAACACCATATGGTGGATTTAGGCATAATTTTCAAGTTAGTCTTTCGATTAGAAAGGGGGGATTTAATGAAAATTGTTTCCCATTTATGATTATATTGAGCTTCCTAAATTGTTTTCTCTCAAAGTCAATACCTTTGCAATCTGGATACTGTCTGATGTACATGTAAATGAATACAAGAGCGATCAATTTATACGTAGTCTGTGAAATATCCAATGTAGTGCGTTATGGTACTATTTGTTAACAACCGGCTGTTGAACAATAACAACTTAACAAGGATAGCACATAGCTCACAAGGGCTTCCTGATGGTTGGAAAACAGTGTAGCATCAAGAATACTAGTGCTAGACGATACTACCCTGCCCTGACCCCCCACTCCCAAGACATAAGACCAAAAATCGTCATGAGCACACGATTTCTAGCCGTCGCCGCCGCCCCGAGCCTCTCCACGACCACTTTCAGGCATCAGTCATTAAGCCCTAGCCAATCAGGGATGGAGACGATAAAATGGCCGCTTAATGGGCCCTCCAGTGTCAGCCGGGCTCCCTCACTGGGCTTTTAATCGCTCTGTCGTACAGGTCGACGGGGGCGTGCGCATCTTTTATCGCGTCCCTTGTGATCGTACGCATGGCCATGGGTCGGTGGATCTTTCATCTGCTGGGCATGATTTCAAAAGATGAAGATGCTTTATCTCGAACAAGATCATAGCCAGCCTAAATGTGGGCGTTGTATAAGTAGTATTTCCCAACAAGACATAGAAATTGGAGTGGGCACTCAGAGATGGAACCAATCAATAACATTCCATTCCAATCAATGCAGTTTTGCACACTCTGACAGGTGTAGATATTAGAAATTAGAAAAGAGACTTTGATTATGAAACAAATTGATGAATGGAAAAGAAAATGAGAAAAATATTATAGAGATGAAAAAGACAAGACAAAGATAGCCTTAACATAATTTAATGGTGATTGAGCTCTTTGGAGCCAGCCAGAGCGCATCTCTCCTCTAAGATGAGATAGATGAGGAGGATGGGAGATGAAGAGAAAACAGGACAGAGGCAAGGCAGCCTCGGGCTACTTGTAATCCACCATGTGCTGTTTAGAATGAAAATAACACAAACAAGTATGGCAGGATGGGCAAGATGAAGGGAAGGCTCTCTGTGCTAGCTGTCCTACAGGCCTGGTCTCTGTCTCCTTGTGAGAGAGAGTGAGAGAAAGTAATTGGGGGAAATAAGGGAAAATGTACTGGTGATTAATTTAATGGGGGATAATAGCAATGTTTGTCCATGATGCACGCGCCTTCAGAAATGTATTTATTATGAGGGATCCTACTTTCATCCTAGTCTCCCAATATCCTTTTTATATGTCTTTTTCCTTCTAAAGTTATTCAGTACCCCCCCCCCCCCCCTCTCTCTCTTGTTTCCCCGCTATACTCTGTTTCATCATATCGCCATCCTGAATTCTCACTCCTATTCTCCTCATCTCCTTGCTTCCCGTCTGGAATGTTGCCATTGCTGTGCCAATCTCCCCCTATCTACACACCTTTCCTCTGTATCCTCCCCTTCCTTCTCTTCCACTTATCTTACACCTCTCTCCTCTTTTCCAGTGTTCTTTCATCCATTCTGTGCTCATCTCTTCTCCCAAGCAGCCCCTTCTACCCTGCAGCACTCTTTTCTCTCCTCCATCCATCTTTCTCTCCTCCATCCCTCTTTCTCTCCTCCATCCCTCTTTCTCTCCTCCATCCATCTTTCACTCCCCCATCCATCTTTCTCTCCTAGTGCCCCCTCTCCTCTCCTCCCCTCCCCTCATGTACCCCTCTCCTCCCCTTGTCCGTCTGTCTTCCAGACAAACAATCTTTATTTGTCTTTCCATCCCTCTGGGTCTCTCTTTCCTTTTCTGGATCTTGTAAACGCCCTCTCAACATTTCATGCTTCAACAGAATCGAAGGAAATCCCCTGGCAAACCTCACGTGGCCTCTTTCTCCCTCTTCCATTCTTGCTGCTTTATGACATAGTGCATGTAAATAATAGAAAAATCCATGCATTGTATATTGCACTATAGTCAAATTAAATTTGAGGCTTAGTGGGAAATTATATCTCCTTCCAGTCCCTATTTATTTCCCTTCCTTTTCCTTTGGCAATCTTTTCTTTCCTTCCTCTATGTCTTTATTGCTGTTTCATACTTGTTCCCCCCACCCCCCCCCCCTCATTATCTCTCTCTTTCTCCTCTTTCTCTCCACATAGTATTGTGGGTAGTTGTGTTCAGATAACACCATTATTTCCAAAAATGTAAACTTAATTTTATAGAAACTCCTTTTCATTATCCCATGTACTTTGTGTCAATTTGTGAAAGAGACAAGACCTTGCCTGTCAATGCACAGTCGGTGTGATAAATGAATTGGTTGTCTTAATTTCAGGGACATTCCTACGTGCAATTAGCTGATTAGATTGCAATTTCATACATGAAAGAAAGACTTAAACAATAAACAAGTGTTAATTTGCCACGCACTGCTCTAATACTAGCCTTAAATTGTGTAAATATTTGGGGGTAAATTTACTGAAAATTAAAAAAATGAAGAAAAGGGTGGGGGAAGCGCAAGATTGAACGACTAATGAGGAACTGTCATGACTAGTCTTGATGGGGGTGAGTAGTCTACAGGCACGGACTATCATTTGACACTTTCACACAATTCAATAAAGTCTTGAGCAGAGCCTAGCTCTGTCAGTCTTTATGGGAACCTGTTGTACCCCCCCCCCCCCTCCCTCTCCCTCCCTCTCCCTCCCTCTCCCTCCTTCCCAAGCTCAGGTGGTGCTATGCTGCACGCTCACACTCCCTAAGAACTAGAACTAGAACTATGACCCCTTTGCATTTTCAATTAAGTGAATTGTCTTCCGCTAATGTCCCCAGTTGATGAACATCAGGGGGTGAAATTGAGTGAGAGTAGAGGCAGACAGACAAACAATGAGAGAGAGAGACAGAGAGAGAGAGAGAGTAGGAGAAAAGAGAGTGATAAAGAGATCGAGAGAGACAAGATGGACAAAAGTTGAAAGAGATGGACAGCTACTAAGAGAGGATAGAGAAGATAAATGAAATTCGAAAGGAGGGAATAGATGTTACAAAAATTCTTAGTCTAATTCTAGAAGTCAGCTTAGAATGAGATATTTCTTTATGATAGTTAACATGTTTTTAAAGATATTTTGACTTCTTTTATTCTGTACACCAAACATCGTCATTAACCAATTTTTGTCTATTTCTTTCTTTTTTTCTTCTCTCTCTCTGTCTCTCAGCAGGTCTGGAACTCTTGACCACCAATGCACTAAGGTCGCAGGTCATAGGCAGAGGGCGTGCCGCAAGAGGGGCCTACGCAGCCTACCGTATAGCAGCCCCTCCTCCGGTACCAGGCTACGCCACCGCCGCAGCCCTCTACCCCGCCGAACCAGCGGCTGCTGCCCTCTACCCGGCCGATAGATACCCGGTAAGCCCAACATCCAACGTCAATACTTATTATCTTGTTCATCTATTTAAACTAATGTACTGTAAGGGCTCGTATTCTACTCATTTATTTAAACCAGAAACTGGGGCTAAGTCATGTTTGACAATGGGAAAACGTCGATCATGGGCTAACTTTTTTTAAAACTTGAATTCAAACAGAACTTAGAATCCAGCTTCCAGTTTGAAATTCAAGTAGAATAAGGGCCACGTTGTCTTACCTAACCCAATCTACTGAATTGAGTCTTCTGAAGGATCAGGATTTTCAGTTTAAGATTTAATGTTTTTATTGGGGAAATCTTTTGAAGCACGAGGAATGAGGCCTTCTCAAACCATAAAATAAATTTTCCCACTATTTTGTATAGTTAACATACAGACAAAATAACAAACAGTTCATTCAGACTATCATATATCACAATACTTAGGAGTTTAAAAGGTACTGGGTTAGTCGAACAAGACACTTAGAAAAGGATGTAAAGGCCATCTTTGAGAAAAACAAAATCAAAATGTATGAAAAGTCACGCCCTGAAACATTTGATAGGCCTTTGTACGAGTGACATATATTGCAGGGTTTGAGATATTCCCTGTGTAGAGCTATAGCATTACATTTAAGCCTACGTGGCTAGGCTAGAAAATCTAGAGCTTAAATGCATTTTGATACCATGGTATACAGTGTCCCCTGCCCTTCTCTCTCTCTCTCTCTCTCTCTCTCTCTCTCTCTCTCTCTTTCTTGTAAGCACTCTTTTGTTAAATAGTGTGTGGTTTAAGCATGAATACTACTATGTCTATATCTGAGTGTGGTACTGTTTTATTGCATGATAATGTTCAGAGTTGTCCAAAGATTTTTCTCAATATTGGTACCAATGCACACATTGTGCAACACCATTTGGTTACCAAATAATTGTTAAGGGGGAGAGAAATCTCTTGAAGAGGGGGGGGGGGGGGGGTATTTAAAGCCAACTGGCAATAATTATGTCAGAGTTTTAACTCTATCTTTGAGCTAGAGTTGTCAATCTCAAAAAGATTTTTGTTTGATATTCTGAAGAATTGATCAGAGTAATGGAGGTATACATATATCCAAAATTGAAAGAATTCTGAAATGAAAATAAGCCATAAGTAACATTTTAATATTTGCCTAATATACAATTTACTCAAAAACACTTCAAGAAAACATCTATCTAGAACTCGGACTCCATTAAGAAATGCACCCACAATCAGTCATCAATACCAAGATGTTCGGCTGAAGATTTGATTACCATGGATACCCTACAGGTGTCTTTGTGGAATTAGGTCAATGAATGTGAAAGATGAATCGTTATTTTGATGATTATCTTCCTAATTTTGCCGAAATACGATTGAAAGTTCCCTTGTGGCATGGAACTCAGTAATAAAGTGTTCACTGATACGTTTGTTGTCTCTAAATATGAACTGAATTCAAAGGGGCTTTGCTGGAAAACATATTGATCTATCACCAGTCAAATGTGATTAAAGGCCAATACCCCCCCCCCCCCTCCTCCCCTCAACCAAAGTTTATTGAGAATATTGTAGCTTTGTTTTGCAGTAAAGCAAATATTATCTAATTCATTCAACATACTCTAGTTAATACGGGACTGTTGAAGTATTTAACATGACATAATAATGGAACTTTCTTGAAGATGTTTCCGTCTATGTTAATGACCACCTGGGTGGATCCATCCATTTGTGAAAGAGGGGGGGGGGGCACAATTAAGGGGGTAATTTTGTTGTTCAAATGTACTGAAATTAAATAAAGGGTTTCAAAAGGGGAGCACAAGCCACTTATGCTCCTTCGTAAATCTACTCCTGATTGAGAAACTGTTCTCTGAAAGCAAAATGTTTGTACAAATCTGTTTGATAATATGTAAAGCTAGTAGACATTATGGCTTTGGAAACAGTAAAATTGCTTGCATTGATTGCAGTTGAATGAAGCAAAAAAGAATGATTAGATCGTGATGATGTATTAACTTTTGCCCGGGATCTTTTGTTTGTGTGCATCTTACCTTCCCTGCATCGTTCTGTGTGTAGAGGGAAAATAATAAGGTATACAACACCCACATTCCTCTCCTTAAGGGTTGCATGTTGAGTTTGTTCACATTACTGCACGCATGACATTTGTATGCATGATTGAAACGTATATTTGTTTATACATCTATTGAAGGGATTTCCCCTTTATCAGTTGTTAGTTACGCATGATGTTTCTGCTTGTTTTTCTGTCTGGAAAAAGAGAATCTTCCATGTCTTCTTCTCGTATCTTCCATGTTTTCTTTTTGTATTTTCTACAATATCCCTTCCTACTTCATCACATTAAGAAGTTAATAAATCAGTTTAATTGAATTAAAGGAAGGGTTTTATTTTCCACAGATCAGAATTAGATCAAGTAAATTTCATTTAATCCAGATTGAGAACTTCCCATTAGAATACACATTGCCATTTTAAAAAATTTTTTTTTTGGGGGGGGGGTGGAGTCAACTTTACCCTATACAAGGTGATAACTCATATGATAAATTTATTACTGCACGTAGCTTTTGTTTGGTGAGAAAATAGGTACATTAGGCTCATCTTTTCCATTCTCACTCATCTTCCAGATGTTAGAGATTTGATTTTAATTTTTTTTCCTCCAAAATTTGTCTTATAAACCGTTTCATGAATTAGGACTAAAGTGAGCTAGTATAAAGGTACCATGGTGTTGAAAAACTTTGATATACATGTCTTATTTTGGCAATTTTGTTTTTCTATATCATTGAAGAGTTCACTTTCATCTTAGAGGAATTATATAAGATATTTCAAGCATTCATTCACACATAAGTATGTTCTAGATACATACATGCGTCATAACTTTTTGAACTGTTAAGAAATAAGCATGGCCTGTCATACATAAATTTATCTTGATTTAGCCAGATTTTTATTTTAAATTGATGCTTTACTTTGCATTCATGAATAGATGCCCTAATGATTTAATGTCAAAGATTTTTGCAAAAAGGTTAAATAATGATTATGTGACAAACAAATTCAAGGGCAGACTTGAGTCTCTTTTTCAACTAACGTGTATTCATTAAGAAGTATTTTGGTTTACAACTAAACATGTTTGGCATTCCATATTTTTTCTCTAAAATAACTACATAAAAAGTCATGGTTAACAAATCATAGAGTTTGCATGTGTTTGCTGTGCTGTGAGGCATCTTGTTTATGATTTACTAACAAAGCATATGTTTGCACCCTTTTTCTTTCTTCCGCATCTTTCTGCCCCTCCCACACCGGTCCTGTTACCCCTCCCCTCCCTCCTCAACACCCCCTCCCCACCACACACACAAAACCTATTATTTCAATATTGCTTTCCTCACTCGACATCACATGCCAATTTTTCACTGCATTTTCCTTCAAAATATGAAACGAAACACCAAATATTTAACCTATTCATGACTCCTTCAACTGTACGAAACGTTATGCCATTATACAAAATTTGCCTAATTATGTCACTTTATGCAAATCACAATATACAAATTTTGTGCTCTGAAACTCACTATCCTCCAACATCACTGCCACAACACAATCTCCACACCCACCACGCCCTACTCCCCATCACCCCTACCACCAACCTCTACCACTCCCCACCACACCCCAATATCAAAACAACTGTTTCCACAACCCAGACTGATCTTCTCTTGCAGAGCGCTGCCGCAACGGCCGCAACATACGGAGGCTACATCAGCCGCTACGCCACCCCCACAGCCTACGCTATCCCCTACGGCAGGGAGTACGCAGCCGACCCTTACCATCACGCCATCGGCCCAGCCACCGCATACGGAGTAAGATATCCCTCTCTTACAAGGGTAAATCTTCGACTGTGAAATTGATCTCTTTCTCTCTCTACCAGTGGTTGTGATATTATTTATTATTTTTTGAGACATTCATATACTCACACTTTTGGTTTTCGTGTTCAATCACCTCCCCCACCCCCCTTTTTTTTTAGTTGCAAATTTTGAGGTATTGGTCGTGCAGTGCAGTGAATATAGTGTTATGAGAATGTTCTAGTAATAGTCTGTTATGTAGTAAATGTACTGTATTATGTCAAGAAGTTGTTGGTTGTATACCGTTGACTGTAATGTAATTTATGTATATGCCTGGCTTTTCCTTCGTTGCAAGCTGTGTATCGGTTTAAGTATTTTCACTTGTGTATGTATAAGCATTATTTCTGAAACTCTAATATTTTTACGATGTTAATATTTCTTGAGATATGACCATGCATTGAAGATTACAAACCTATTTCCCAACTCTCCTTCTTCACTTATGGTATTTTCATCCTCCCTTCTAATTGTCCTTCTGATGCATTTCATTCCTTTGAACTTAAACTCCACATTCTTGTTTTCTTATTACTCTCTGCCTCCCTCTCCCCTTTCTTCTTGTCTGTTTATCAACTCCTGTATTCATTCATCCTTCCTCTACCGTATATTTCCCCATTTTTATTTCGCCTCCATCAATCTTTCCGACGAAAAACAGTATGAGCCTGTTTCTATTCTTGTTCTTCTCTGCATTAGGGATGCATTCTTGTATTTTAATTACCAGTAATGTTTTGTTCAGTATGCTTTATAGTTTTCTACTTGTTTAACAGTGCTTTGTAAGTGTTGATATATTGTTATTATCTCCATTACTAAGAGTTATAAAAGAAATGGTAGTTACTGATATGAAAATAGATCCGTTGCCATTTTCTCACTAAATTGCGGAATCTTATATTCTTTATATTTACATAGTTTTGAGTTTACCGTCTCTCTTTTAGTATGAGATCTACGTCATCATCCAATACCAAACCGATTAAATTTCAACCAGTCTATAGAGAGCACATATCAATAACACCCACACGCCACAGAAGGGAAATTCCCAATGAGTTTTTGTTTCCCTTGAGCGCATAATAAAGGGATTTACAAATTAATAGTTCTTAGACAATGGTTTCAAAACCTTTTGGTTTAGTAAAGTACAGGTGTGTTGGGATTTGGGGGGAAAATCTAAATGCATATGGAAATTTCCCAAAGGCAACCCTGCAAATCTACCCTATATTCCATATTCCTTTGTACTCATATCAACATGATTTCTCAGTGTAAAATGTATATCTTAAGAGCTTCAATGCATTGTTACTTTGTTCAAAGGAAATCCAGCCTTGATAGCAAACTAGTCCAGAGAAAAGCACAAAAATCAGAGGAGTACACTGGTGAAAGTTTGAATAAAATCTGAAAAAATGAGAAAGCTATGAAATTTTGAAAGTTGTAATTACTATAGGTATGGGCTCTTCAAATTGGCTGAATTAGTAATATATCTGTAATGCAGTGGCAGACAACTTTCCCACTTGTTCCAACACAAAAAATGACTAAATTTCAATATTTCAAATTTTATGATGCATGAGGGTCTATATTTTCTTTAGAGGACCTATAAAAATATGCTATCCATGATAGATTTTGAGTAGTGCCCCAAGGGAAAAGGCACTAAGGAGGAAATAAAACATTCATAACTTTCTTATTATTGGTCAAATTTATTTCAAATTTTCGCCATTTTGTTTATCTTATTTTTTCTTCTTTCATACAATTGAACTTATTACAAGAGTTGGATTTCCCTTTTTAAATTGTTGTGACTTGTACTGTCGAGCATGATAGATTGTTTATGCACCCATATGTGTAAATTTGAATGGTGTTTTCTATTTGGTCAGGGATGTTTTTGCATGGTATTACTGATTTTCATGAATATTGCTTTGAACAAGACACCACCACGGCTTGTGATATTGCTGTGCAGTACTGTATATGGCTTTCATGCACCATGAATTCATTACTTAGCATAATTTGTATTCTTATGAGAGTAGTCATTGTTCAGAAAATGGAAATGAACAGGCATTACTGCTTTGAGTCAAATCCTCTCACGATTATTTTGAGGAGCAAGTCGCAAATAGATTCACATGAAATCAACGGTTAAAAGACCAAATTGATATCGAAATCTGGATAAAGAAATAACAGGCCAGTTACTCCACTGTCGAAGTTCATTTACCTTTTTTATGCAGCGTCAGGTCTGGTCATAGTTGCTGAATAAAAAAAGCAACATTCTATTTGTTCTCCTATGATTGTACTTTTCCTTCATTTTGAACTGTCCACACAAATTATCCGCTCCATCAATTAATGCGTTTATCGTATTTTTCTAGCAGTAATGGATTTATGGAAAGGGCACCCACGGTTTGTAACTCGTAAGGTTCTAAAAATATATTTAATGCTCCAAAGCGGTGCATCATAAAGAGCATTGTAACAGTTTTGTCTGTATATACCCTTTTAAGAATACTTCCTGTTTTATATCATGACATTTTCAATCAAACTCAAGAAAGGCATTTTCAAATTGCTCGACCAGCTGTCGCCATAAGTTTTACCTTAAAATTTACCTTAAAAAGGAAAATCAAAATCTGATTTTAAAACATGTAATTATCAGTAATTTCTCTCCTGTTCAAGCATTCAGAAGCCAAGTCATGTGCAGAAATGTTAATATTTTCAAAAAATATCATGTTACCGTAATCAATATTTTATAACTCAAGGTATTTTTGTATGGCTCAGATTAACTGTAATGACAATGATTTATGTAAAGAAAAATAATGAACCAGTTATCAGCTTGCAACTAATTCATTTACGAATGGATCATATGAAGCCAGTGAATATCCATTTTGGTATTGAATGTTGGATGTAACAGTCTTCTCAATGTTTCATAACACTGAACATTCGATCAGACTTTCAGACTGCTAGGTGTGTACATATGCACTCTCTAATATGGTAATGATGTCCATGTGAAACCAAGTCCATTTTAAGAATGTCATCGTATGAATATTTCATTGTTCACTGCACGACAACTTCAAGAAATTTGAAAGAAAAAAAAAAGAGTTTGTAATTTTTTTAAGCATTATTGAAGTAGAATTCCACACACCACTGTCTTATGAGAAGAAATCAAAAGTAAGTCGAGGTTTACATTTTTTCACTATTTTTTGTGAATTTCTTTTGCTAAATGTTAGCAATTTGCATGATGCTGTTGCTGTAATTGTTCACCTTTATGTATTTTTCCCCTTTGCAGATGTTATTTCAATGAAATATGTTGAATATTTTCTATATTGATATGGATAGATCATTATTGTGTTTCTATTGCACATATCAGACATGATTAGTTTCCTTTTATTTCATAAAACGAAAAACGGCAACAAAAGTAAACCATGTTTTTAAAGTTGATTTAGGATCCCTTTTCTTGTCATCAATTGTTTTAAATTGATAACCTACACCAAAGTAGTGGCACTATAGTGTACAATGTTCTGTTGAATTATTAAGATTCTCTTTTTTTCTTCAAACTAATGTAGCTTGAGATAAAAAAAATAATGCATTATTGGGAGATTCCTGAGAAAAGAAAGGGAAGGGTATGTGAATATGCTAACCTGAGAAATCAGAAAGTGTAGGTTTTACTATTCTTTTGATCAACGGATACTGCTAAAAGAATCTGGAAACATTTGTAGATGTAATTGAAGTCATATTTGAATCGAGGTAGGGAAGCATGGGCCTTTGTAGGCTTTAAGCGCAATCACATCCCTGGATTGTAGCAAAGAGTGCGCAACTAGGAACATTCATTTAGCTTGATATTCATATTATAGTTATGTTCAATATACCATAGTTTGCTTTTAATCATGCATTATCTACCTTTCTTCTTTCTTTCTCTCTTCTCCCCATTATAGGCCAGTCTTTATAGAGGTGCTTATGCAAGGTACACACCTTACTAAGAGCAGCAGGCAACCAGTGGTATTCCTTGATGCAGCTATTCATCTTGTCTTAAACGATGTTTACTGCATCCAAAATAACTGAACATTTTTTTGATTCAAGAAAGCAAGAACAAAGAGAGAAAGCAGATGACCGTTTTTATGAGCTTAAGAAAGTCGGAAGGAAATTCTGAGACACGATCTGTGGTTTATATGAAGCGTGCTATAAGGGGGAAGGTGATTGGATAGGCACGATGACATCAAGAGGTGCCAATTTGCTGATCAGTACATTTCTATAGGGATTGGCAATAGGAGGAGTTCAACTCGAGTAGTGTTGGTACCAACTCATCTGATATACGGCATCTCATCAAGCTCAAACGTTTGAAAGAAAAACAAACGGCTTTCAACTCTCAATCCTTCCCGACGAATACAGGGAAAGGGTTTATTACAACTTGATATCTACTTCCAATTGTTCTGACTTTATTTTTCATTTTGTATTGTATAAGTATACAATGTATGATACCTCTACAATGTTTTTCTTTTCTTAAGAGGATTGTAGGAAACTACTCTATTCAGATTAAAATCTTTTATTGATGAAGGTTGGTATACCAAGATGTATTTGGTAATGTACTGAAATTTCATAGTTGCGGGACAAGTCTTGAATACTTGATCCCGCGATGGAAGGTGTAAATTCTACTCAAACAACTTTTTGCTCATTCTCTCTCCCTCTCTCTCTCTTTAATTCATTTTCAATTCATGTGTGCTATAGAGGGATGTATGTCTTGTGACATAAAATGCCTCAATATTTCTGCCAAAAGTATCAAGTAGAGCCTATCTCATGGGTACAAACTAATTCTCGCAATGACGTTGTGGAGCAGAAAATGGTCTTTTTGAAGATTTTTTAATCATGCACCAAAGCAATTGTCTCATTTCTTTTGTGGAAAGACTTCTTTTAGTTCACAAAGAAGAACAAAATTTACCAAAACATAAGCTGATGTGCTAAAAATGAAGAGAAGAACCCAGATTGGGAAACCCCCTAAAGCTGCAGTGGAGCATGCCATTACAACACAGAATCTTGTCATGATATGGGCTGTACCATCACAGGAGAGGGGGAAACAGGTTTGTCGAGGGACAAATGTCACTCAAATTCTTCCAAACCCCCCTTGAAAGTAGCTATAGGTGAATCCAGAATGAATGCACTGCCTAAACATTGGAAGATTTCAATATAACTTGTGGTAGTCCATCTTTAATGGAAGTAGCTGTGAGATATGGTTGGCATTACAATAGGAAAGGGTCTTAAAGCATGATATAGATATCATGTTCGATCCAAAATGGACCATTCCATTTCATCGGAAGGGAGTAGATGTCGTACATAAATTGGCATAACAATGAAAAAGGGTTAAAAACACATGATATTAATGTCCATGTTGTATTGGAATGTTCCATTTCATTGAAGGGTGGCTCTGATAGAGAACGATGGACAAAAGTTGAAGGAAAAAGGGGTTCGTTGATGGTTTTCATGCTATAAATGAAGAGAGGAGAGAAAAACATGGTGCTACCAATTCTGGTTGTGTGTTGGATATCACCTGCTGTTTAGGTGGTCTCTAGCTTTTAGAAGGAATCTGTATATTTATCTGTAGTTGTTAGATATCATCTAGACATTGTTTCATAGAAAGGAAAATTTTAAAGTTTAAGTATACTGCTCTCTAACCTTGCCTCAGAAATACAGGGGAGTCTGTCATTTCTGTGTTTTCATGATTATTAATCATTTATGTTCAAACTTTTTCAGTATTTTTACCTTTTATGTTAAACTATTTTGTGTTTGAGTTTCTAAAGCCAGTTCTGTTTTGGAGCCCACATGTTGCTGAAGGAGGAGATATGGTTTTTGTCTTTAATTTATCTTGGCACTAGATGGAAAATTTGTACAGATTTTCGTAGTTAGCTTGAAATTCACTACGTAAGCTTTTAAATGATTTGTGTTAGTAAATGAGCAGAAATCAGACATTGTTGATTATAAGTGTTTGCGACGCAAAAAAACTCTCTGGAAGTAGTGTGAGAGAGAGAGAGAGAGAGAGAGAGAGAGTGTGAGTAAATTGGAATGTCAGAAGCAAAAGCGTTCGTAAATTTTACACTTGGGTCAACAACAAAAAAAGCTAAGGAAATAGTGATTCTTTTAACTTTATATTTATTATACCATTCATGACATGAATATGAAAAAAAGATCTAGCAATCTATTGTATGTATCATAGATTGTCACCGTGTTGATTTTCGCATTTTGGTGCAATGTTTCTCTTGCAAAGTGCGTCTTATATAAGTTGTAACTTTCTTTTCCTTCTTCTAGCGAAAAATGTCAGATGTTGTCGGTTACCCTTGTAGATTTCTATCCTCTTTCTCTGGTTAGTGTGCTACTCAATGTTAACCCATGTATTTTTGTCGTTGATTGTGAATGTATTGATAAATGGCGAGGAGAAGATTATTGTTGTGTAATAAGCATTGGAAATATAAGTATGTAAGTAACTAAGAAAGTGTCTTGATGAAGATTAACTGACTATGAATATGCCATGGAATTGGACAAGCTTTACTGCCAAACTTGTAAATTGTACACAAAGAAGAATTACTTGTGAAAGACAAAGTATTCTCTTCATGAATCACATTTTTATTTTGGCTCACAAAGCTATCGGAAAGAATAATCCTATGTATCAGGGATCTACATCGGAATTCAAATTCATATTTTGATAAGACAAAGCCAAACAATTTGAACAAAATACTACATCACTTTCACTATGGGACTACCTGTATTTTAAAGGGATTCTTGTTACCGAAACAGTAAGACAATGATTTTATCCAAAGTAATACAATTTTGTGCTCCTTATCATCGTGCTCAAATTAAGTGCAAATTTAGACCAGCCATCTTGCTGTGGTAAAAGATAACAAGCGTTCAATCTTTTTGCCACTTTCTGACAATCAGGTTTATTGATAAACCAAATCAGATTCTGTCTTGAAGTTGTCTCGTTCAATGTGGTATTGCACTTTCCCGTGTTTATATGATTCAATGTACATTATTTTCATTTTTTGCCAATTTAAGTTATTACTGTACATTTGTGTACCTTGTCTTTGTGTTTACACCCAAGAGTTATATTAATGTTACTGGTTTTCTTTGTTATCTCCTCAATTTATTTTTTTTGTTAATGTTTGGAATACAAATCAAATTATCTTGTAAAGCACTTTGGAGAACAGCTGCCAAATCTTTGATGTATAATCCATAAGGAGGACATTTCATTACCATCATCATCTTCAAAGCAACTCTCTGTGCCAGCTGTTTTTATCAACTCCTATGTTATGTTTCAAATCTCCTTTGTAGTTTCAATCGTTAGTAAAGGCAAGATACAAAATAGGAATTTTTATGATAGTGACTTTTATCATGTGTATTAAGGACAGCTCTTCATAAGATATATATTTTTTCAGTAATGTTTCGTCGTTTGTGGAGACAATCAAACCTTCAGGTGTTTTATGTATCTTATTTAAGAACACTATACATGTTAGTTGAGGGGAAAAGGACAAAAAGGAAAAGTTGCAATTTATACTGAGCTGTTGTGTGCTTTTAATACAATGCTGTTTTTCTGAGTAATGATTCTATAAATGTAACAAATTTTTGATTGTATAGTATTTCAGGAGATAACGTTTTTATCTCAACGTGCAAATAAGAAAACAGGCCCATCGCCCCCAACAAGATAACAGAAACTTGTCTTTTTTTAGCTTATAGAATTTAAAATTAAATTGACGCAATTAATTCTTCTTATTAAATAACATGTCAAATAAAATTCTCATCTGGATTGTGTCATACCATTTTAACTTGTATAGAAAACAGGGATATAAAAATTTGAATAGATAAACTTTGGTGAATCTACTGTATCAAAAATATAAGTTATTGCTCAGAATAATTAAGGTCATTCAATGCTTGATTCTTTTTGTGTATTTCACACAAAATTTCAGGTAATATTGTAAAACTAATATTTCTCATATTTTGGACTGCCTCCTGTGTTTTGTGAAAGAGGCTGAATTTTCAAGTGGAATAGTTTTATTTACATAGTACAAAGCTGCAAGTACAATGTACAAGGCATTAATTTGCATGCCTTTTTTTCTCTCTCTCACAACACTTGTTATTTTTATCTTTTCGACAATCATTACATTTTAAGGTGCCATCTTATTATGTGTCAAAGGTTTTTAAAGATGTTTTTTGTCAATAGTCAAGCATATATTCTTACTAATTTATATTTATGTTTCACTTGATTTGTCGCCGCTGTGCAAGTGCGATTCATTCATTATTTTCATGTTCTCAGCTCTAGTTCTGGGACTTGGTCATCTTCAATTTGCCAGTGTTTTACGGCACTTTTCACAACCTTTGAATAGTCAGTTTTTTATCCGACATGTTTTCTTGTAGTAGACTCGAGTTTGTAGAATTCTTTTTTTTTTGTCTATTAAGTGTAGTATATTTTTCCCTCATTCATTCTCTTTTCTAGACAGTTGTTGATTTAAAGAAGAGATTCATTGAAGAGATGAAACTTTGGGGCATCAAATGCACAGAAGTATTATTGTAAAATCTTAATTACAAAAAAAATATTAAAAATTGTACAGATTCAACAAAAAGACTATTTGTGACATGTATTTTATTTGTGTGTGTGTTGATTAATCACTTTCCTTCTTTCCTTATATCTACATTGTATCTCTTTTGATATTCAAGTGTTCCTAATACAAGACCGTGGGAGAGAAATGATAAGTGAGAGAGAGAGAGAGATAAAGAGAGGGAGAGGTGAGAAATAAAGAGATAGGGTAAGAGAGACAGGATGAGAGAGTAAGAGAGAGAGGGGAGAAATAAAGAGACAGAGTAAAAAAAGACAAAATAAGAGAGAGAGATAGAGGGGGTGGGAGAAATTAAGAGAGAGAGAAAGAGAGTTAGAAAGACAGGATGAGAAAGAGAGGGGGCGGGATAGATTAACAGAAAGTGTAAGAGAGACAGAATGAGAAAGAGGGCGGAAGAAATAGAGTAAGGGAGACGGAATAAGAGAAAGGATAAGTGAGAGACAGGATGTAAATGAGAAGGGGAGGGAGGAGATGGGGGAAAAGGAAAAATAGGAAATAGGAAGAGAGAAGTGTAAATATGAAAGAGAGTTATGAAGTGAAAGAGAGATAATATTTAAATAAAAAGACAGAATGGATGAGATTAGAGATCACAATGGGACAGGAGCATTATAGAAGAAGAGAAAGATTAAGATAAAGACGCTTCAAGTGGGTTCATTAAAGAGAGGTGGGGTGAGGGAGAAAGATGAAGAGAGGGGACTTGGACAGAATATGTTCAGTTGTATAAAAGAAATACAGGGATCTTGCAGTGACTACTAGAAAAGTATAAATGTTAGAGGATTTTGAAAAAAAAGTGTTGTATTAGACCCATTTTTGTAATGTAATTTAATTTATTCCTTGAAACGCAGCACACGTAACAGCTACACTGCTAAAGCCAGGGTAATTATGCTGCATTATTGTAGAGCGCTTAGAGACTTCTGATAAAGTAAGTGTAAGCCGCTATATAAGCACTATAATTATTATAATTATCTTTTTAGTATTATATTCACCTATTAGAAATGATTTTATTTCAATAGCTGACAACTAAAATATAATCATTTGTAACAGGTGAATGAAATAATTTGTAACAAAGCACTTAACAAAGATTGTGCATTGAATTTGATTTCGATACGAAAATAGTCTATTCTTTAAACCCTTGAAGACAGTGTGCTTTTTTAAGTTGTATAGTGCCACCTCCTGTAAAAACATTACAGTGCAACTTTTTTCTCAAAAGTCGAGTTTAACTACTTTTAGATTTTATGCAAAATTTGACTACAGCAGTAGCCAATGGCAACCCCTAAGAATTCCCAAAGTTTGTCTGACATAGCAACAGCAAATTATGCAGCAAACCTGGATTCCGCCTATCTCAATTATATCAAATTAATGCAACAGTAAATTAGGATATTGGCCTATTTAATAACTCGTCCACTATAGTATAGTCCACAGGAAAGAAACATCCATGAATTTGAATATTTTAGTAAACCGCTCTATCCCGAGATATTCCGTTCGTGGAATCACATGTTGCCTTGCATTTTATGGATTTTTCAATGCAAATCAAGGATGCCCCTTGGGCAACAAAGCTGAATTTGTTCTCTGACCATTTAAGATTACAAACCAACAAGAAACTGCAATGGAAAGAACTTTTCTAGGCTCCTTGTCTGTTGAACAGGAGCATCAAGTGGACTATAATCAATCAAAAAATAAATGCACACAACAAATCACAATAGAGACACATATCATGTAGTATCTAATCAATTTATTGTATCAATGAAAGCATGATATATTATCCAATTATATCCTATACTCTTTCTGAAATTATGTTTACAGTAAATATATATCTCTTTTGAACGAAGTTATCTATTTTAAGGATGATGACATCTCAATCATAATCATCTATCTCACAAGGCTTTTTCCATTGAAAAATATATACCGGTATTTCAAGTATTTTCTTACCCATCTCATAGTACAAGGCAATGATTAAAAAACATTCAAGATCATTAGTATACAAATACTAGACATTTTAAATATATATATGCTGGATTATACTTTGTAAGTTAGTAGCATATTATTTACAACAAATCAGAAAAAAATCTAAAATACTATTTGCAATATAATTTATAAGTGTGCAGTACTGCGTAGTATAGATATATAATAAGTCACAAAAACTTGTACAATATGTAGATATCAAGTAAAGGATTAAACATTGAGCTTTGATCAAGGCCACAAGATGCATAATCTATGCCTGACAAATTAGAAAGAAAATAGATAAAACACACATAACCAACATCAAAAAGAGAAAACTACTTAATCTATCCAGCTAAAATAGAAAGTAAAATGTGGTCCAACATGTGTATATATGTGTTGGCACTTTTCAGTATATTTGATTTTCAGCGAGTGTTCCTAATTTGTTTACGAGAGCAGGGCCCTAATAAGTTTTCTGCATGCCAAGCAATATAAACGACTTTTAGCCAGTTTCTCAGAAATTCAAGTGCTAGGTAAACCTGTCATACTGACAGCAAAATTATGAGGAACACAAATGAAGCCAAATGCAAAAGGCAGCTAAAAGACATAATAATAATAACAAAAATAGTAGTAATAATGATAATGATAATACTATTACTACTACTATACTTCTTCTACTCATAAAAATAATAATAACGACAAAGTGTATTTCTATAGCGCATATCATCAAAAATGCACGAGGATACAAATTACTTTTAGACTGAGTAAATAAATATAAAACTTTTTGCCATCATTATTCTTTTATATTACAGAAAGGCTGACATTTGTTTCAGCTCAGAAGACACATGAATAATCATATTTTTTGTCATATTACCGTAATGCAAATTGAATTTTACTGTTATGTAGTTAACAAGTAAATGAAAAGTTGCATATAGGTACAAACCACTTACTTTTATACAACGAACTTTTACATAATAAAAGCATGGAGCTCTTGGTGTGGATCACTTTTAACACTAAATAGTTACTTTGTGTTAAAAAATGTGCATGACATGTTGACACTATCATTTTCTCCTTCTTTTAAATGAAACACAACAATCCAAGTTATTGGGGTTTTTTCTTCAACTTTTTATGAAGTGAATACCTTGAAGGCATTATATATGTATATATCAAACATCTTTAGACACCGCCATGTTATATGACAGAGATTCATGAAGATATAAATGGTAAGAGAAAAACCTGTGTGTCATATTGAATGGTATGAAAGGCACATCCCTTGATACATACAATAGATTCTCAATTCCATTTGTCACTTTTCATTTTCATAAAAGAATATTTAGAAAATTACAGTGAAGTGAAAGATTTGCAACAAATTAAAACAGCAGAGTACATGAACAATGCAATAAAACATAAACACAACACTTTCCTATAGCTGATATCAAACACGCATATATATCAGATATTTTTTTAATCTGGAAATGGAATACAACAAAAGAAATAATTCTTAGAGGTAAATTGAGTCATCATCAATATTGATGTCTATTTGATAAATACTGACCTATAATTCGGCAATTCAGCAACAATATACAAAAATAAAAAATAGGAATTTGGTGATTTCAAATCATGAAATAACCAGTGGAATAAACTCAAAAAATGCATAAAATATTATATATTTCCATTTGATTTTGATAGTGTAAGTGAAAGACACGATTATGAAGAAATCAAAGACACTTCTGTGCACCCTCTCCGGGTGAAAACATGAATACATCACTCAATTACTGTACTTACAATCACTTGGTCAGTACCGGAATACATTCACTTGACCATTCTAAGTTTGGCCATTACTTCATCTATATAAGAACTTATGAGTCATGTACATGCTCAAATCACAGACTTCGATCTCTATTCGGCTTATAGTTAGTTCAATGAGTTGCCTTTCAATTGTTTTTGTTTTGCAAATACCTTTCTCTTAGAAAGCATGAGTTGTCGACTCCATACTACATTTCACATTTCTGCTGATAGTCATAAGGGAATTAACTCTATGTACATGTGTTACTATATGAGATAACTCCCTTCAGACTCGCAGAATTGAAAAAATATGAGTATTTAGATAAACATGTAGGCATCTATATCTATATCAGTAATATCTTTGGCATTAAAAAACAAGTTTACTTTATTATATGAATGTGAAAAGTGTTCACATATCTAAATTCAAAACATGGACAAAATAAGATAAGCTAAGATGAATTCTACAGCGCATTAAATATTCACAAAATAAGGATAACACAATATTGAAAGGAAAAATGACAGAACAAATGTCTGCGAAATATTTCACCTGTGGCGTCAAAGCTCTCACAAGTAATATACTACAGATGAGGATGAAAAGCTTTGATTAGAAAGCGTGAGATGACAAACATACAAGTCATTACTCAATAATACATCACATCTTTCTTGCATCAAGTACACACATTTACCAGTAATTTCCTATTTAAATAATCTGTTGTATAGTTCAGAGAAGTAAATTTTGAGAAAGAAAAAAATTCACTTTCAGTGAATCAGTACGGTAGTTAATGGTAATACAAAGTTTTGGTATGAGGTCATAAATTTGGTTCGAATGAACATTTTGGAAGCATATGCGATCCTACAATATTCAGTGGTCGTTGTAGCGGTTGAAATCGAGTCTAAAGTTATAAAATTGCAAATAATACACTCTTTATGTTGTATAGCTCCCTCTCAAGGTCAATATATTAATTAAGCTATAAAACAATGTTTTTTGACCAAAATCGACCGATTAGCCAATACCGTTTGGAAATTATATATCACAGCTACATATTCTGATATTTTCATGGTCGCAGCTACCATTGTACGGCCAAGTAGGCGCTATTTGAAATTTATCAAAATTTACCGGGAGCACCGGTAAATTTTTATATTCCATTTTTCTCAAAAGCAGAAGTGTTTTAGGGTCTAATTTTTTTAGAGCTTATTATACATCCACAGGGGCATCCAAATATATCAAAATTGTAAAGAATCACTATCCACCGAATTTTCATAATTTCCCAAAACTTTGTATTACCTTTAACATAAACATAAAGCACTGTATTGAAACACATTTTCAAACAAGCATTTTCCATTTCAAACTAAAATGATTCATAAGTATAAAATAATTTTAAAGGGACCCTCACAAGGGCTATAGGCACCTAAATCATTGCATGAAAATCATACTGCAAATAAAAATATTATATATACATGTATTCTTTCACAGTACTTAATTAAAGGTGAAAGTAGAAATTGATCATATTGTGATTTGTGATTTTAGCCACTACAAAAAGTAATTAATAAAAGATACATAATATAACATTCTCTTGTTAGAAAACAAGATATACAGTACTGTTACATGGATACAATTTGGAGGCACAAACGTTATCTTGCACATGCAATATTTTTTATAATACATTCATAGTCACTAAGAATTTCACCTGATGCATCAATGTGTAATGTTGGCTTTCCTGTCAATTGCAATAATCTTTTATGAATAACATATTGTGAGTACAAATGAGCGCCACTTTTAACCGTATAGATAAATGTATATAACAAAACATTGATGTACACATGATCATGAATCACAAGCAATAAACAGATTTGTAGGACTCCAATATTGGACTGATCGACGCAATAAATGTCCCACACATTCTTACTTTCGCGCCCCTCGTACATTTCCACGTTTGAGGATATTATCAGCAGGTTGGGGCTGTGACATGGGATTGCGGACGACATCGCTTGACGACATGCGATTCCTGAGGATGCCTCCTTTAGGCACGGGCTGTCTCGTTGGTGCTGGCGGATATCCATTTTCAAGGGGTGGCTGACTCGACTGAGGGCTGATGGGTATTGAATTTGGGCGGGTGCCGTAGCCTGGCCCATCTCCATTTAGCTGACGCGGGCTAATTGGGTCGGTCATGCCCTTTGGGGGACCGTAGTTATTGTTGTACTCCACAGGGGGTTGGTCAACGTTGACCTGTAGAGGGGGTAAGGACATGACCCTGACGGCTCCAGCGGGTGGGGTGTGGCTGGGACTGGCTGGCATGATAGACGAACCACCGGCTCCACTGGACTGAGAATCAGTGGATGAGGGGGTCCTGTAACGTCCTTCTATCCCGTTAGCTTGACCGGCTGGCATGGAAGGGTCACTGGGTCCTGGTGGTGCTTGTTGTTGTGATGGCCAGAGGTTGGTGATGGCATTGGTTTGATAATCACTGGAGACTGGTTGAGGTTCTCTCACTGTACCGACCTCCTGATACTTCATGTACTTGGCTATCAACTCACCTATCTCAACTCCCTGATGAGAAAACAAGAAATATCACATATTATTTAGTACCACTCAACATATATTGCTAAAACATAAGAAAGAAATAGACACCAAATCTTTGACCAGTAGTTTTGAAGTTGCAAGGTAGTATCATTATCCTGTGATGCTACTATGGCAAGCATATGCATGGTGTACCTCAAGGCACTACAAGTGGTCCTATTTTATTCATATGGTCTTTGCTCAAGATGTACGTTGTCATGATTCATGTATTGCGATTGGTGTGATAGTTAATGAGGTATATTTATTTGGGCCCACTCGCCAATTTAAATTCCAGTTCAATGCTTTTGGGGGGTCTTTGCCTTACATATTTTTGATACAAACTTGATGTTCTGTATGTATTTTGCTTATGGTAAATAAATGTTATTTTGAACTCATTTTATTAAAATGTTGTCAAAGTAAACCTGACATCCTTAATGCCAACCTGATTTGTCTGGAATCTGGTGACAGTCTGCTTCATGAGGTCGCCATGTTTGATGTCAAAGTACGAGGCCTTGCCATCGTTAGATCGGAGTCTCCTCGTTGAAACAATCTCTGCCAGTGACGTGAACTTTAAGATCTCCTGAACATTTCAAAGAGATGGAAAACACAGACAGCAAATTCAATACAAGTTACTTCTTGAACTATAAAGAGTCGTTCTGTCATTCCAAGAAAGAAAAAAAAGATTCACAGGATTAATTTTTTGCATACTGAACTAAAAACGAATAATAATAAATGACATAAGTAAAACTAACATACAGTGTACTTTTATTTATCTGCTTTTATCTTCTTTTATTTATCTCATAAAACAATGTGAGCATCCTTGGATTCTAGGTGATAAATTGCTAGTTGCCAGCTGATCAAAATCTGTTGTAAAGATCATTGAGTAGACAGGGTAAACTTCACCTAACCTCAAACTAAATATATTAAAAACGTTTCTCTCTTTGTGTAAAACCTGCTATATTGTTGGATTTGAAGTAAACAAGCTTATTGAAATTGGCTACCGGTATATTTGACTTTCCAGGATCTTACTGAATTCTATTATAATCATGAAACCTGGAAAAAAACAATATTTTTTAAAGTAATGATGACAGCACCGAAATTGCCAGGTGCATGTAGGTAGAAATGAATGCCATTATATACTCACGTGTGTGTTGCTCTTGAGGATGAAGAACCCATCTTTATTGACAGCCAGGAGTCTGGCCTCGTTGGCGGTGGCTCCACTCTGCATCGTAACCTCAAAGAAGTTACAGCCAAAGAGCTCCCACTCCTGGAGCGTCTTGATGAACCTGACGCGGGCCAGGACCTTGGTGACGTCTCGCATCTGCTCCAGGCTCGAGTGAAGCAGGTTGAGCCAGCGCTGAGATTGTTGCTTCTCCTTCACGTTGAAGGGGAGCACGTAGTTCAGGTCTTTCCTGCAAGAAAGTATAACATTCCGTTCAGTTTTTTCTTCAAATCTCAACAACTGTAAATTATCAAGCGTGAAATACAACAAGTAAGTTTAACAGGATGATTATTAATATGAACAGTTCACTGATTTCTGATGGGTGAAGGCGGTAATGAGGGAGAGAGAGAGGCAAGGGAAGTTAGGTAAAGAGTTAGGCGGTTTGAAGTGAGACAGTAATGAGGGAGAGAGAGAGAGGCAAGGGAATTAAGTTAGGTAAAGAGTTAGGCGGTTTGAAATGAGACAGTAATGAGGGAGAGAGAGGCAAGGGAAGTTAGGTAAAGAGTTAGGCGGTTTGAAATGAGACAGTAATGAGGGAGAGAGAGGCAAGGGAAGTTAGGTAAAGAGTTAGGCAGTTTGAAATGAGACAGTAATGAGGGAGAGAGAGGCAATGGAAGTTAGGTAAAGAGTTAGGCGGTTTGAAATGAGACAGTAATGAGGGAGAGAGAGGCAAGGGAAGTTAGGTAAAGAGTTAGGCGGTTTGAAATGAGCCAGTAATGAGGGAGAGAGAGGCAAGGGAAGTTAGGTAAAGAGTTAGGCGGTTTGAAATGAGACAGTAATGAGGGAGAGAGAGAGAGGCAAGGGAAGTTAGGTAAAGAGTTAGGCAGTTTGAAATGAGACAGTAATGAGGGAGAGAGAGGCAATGGAAGTTAGGTAAAGAGTTAGGCGGTTCGAAATGAGACAGTAATGAGGGAGAGAGAGAGAGGCAAGGGAAGTTAGGTAAAGAGTTAGGCAGTTTGAAATGAGACAGTAATGAGGGAGAGAGAGGCAATGGAAGTTAGGTAAAGAGTTAGGCGGTTTGAAATGAGACAGTAATGAGGGAGAGAGAGAGAGAGGCAAGGGAAGTTAGGTAAAGAGTTAGGCAGTTTGAAGTGAGACAGTAATGAGGGAGAGAGAGAGGCAAGGGAAGTTAGGTAAAGAGTTAGGCGGTTTGAAGTGGGACAGTAATGAGGGAGAGAGAGAGGCAAGGGAAGTTAGGTAAAGAGTTAGGCGGTTTGAAGTGAGACAGGGGGAGAAGATGACGGAAAGAGACGGATGGAAGCATAATGAAATACGGGACAAAGGGGAGGTTAGAAAGAGGGGAGAGGTGAAATAAAGGAAGATAAATAAAGATAGAAAGAGAAAAAATTGAAGGAGAGTTGATAGAGAAAGGGTTGTAAAAAAGTTGAGCCAAGGAAACAGAAAAAGGAGACAGTGATGGATGGAACATGACTAAAAAGCAAGAGATAAGGGATTCTATTTAACACCTATTACTGCGTCAAATGCTCCACTGTCGATGTTTAACTTCAACTCTGTATCAAACATCATACCTAACTCTAACCTTATAACCAGAACCTAAAACCCAATTGCAACACTCTCCCTCTGGTCCTATATATTTGATGAATTAAAACCTGGAGAACTAGTTAGTTGCCAGAACAAATGTGGATCACAAAATAAAGATTTTATCTCATTGTATGAATCAAGAATCAAGAATTTTAATTGAAGAAGAAGAAAATGACTATTTTGGGAACAATTATTCCAATGAAAGGACATTTATGACTTACTGCGTTGGGAGTTGGACCTGATCATTAGCTTTTATCTGGTAAGCAGCTAGCTGTATGATGGTGGTCAGTAGATCATCGGTCAGCTCACCGTGCTGTAGAATCACCAGGTTACCACTGATGTAGTCTTGACGAACCTGGTGGTCAAGAAGTCAAATCAAACAGAATCTCAAAATAATTGTGTTTATAAACATCTTTCAAGAGTGACTTTTAGACAGGGTCAGAATGAGAGAACACAAGTGGAGATACATGCTGTATGCTTCATACCTATCAAATCTCATAATATGTTGTTAAACACTAGCAAATGAACATAACTAAATATGGAAAGGATTTTATGATAATATCAAGGATATGTGTATTTAAAACTCACATCAGAAGAAGGCACCCACTAAATTAATGACAAAAGTTGATACTAACACGATGGATCCTTTGATAAGTTTTAATCTCCATCATCACTAAACTTTTTTTCACAGCTTTGTGATCAAACGTCAAATGTATGTTACTTACATTTCTTGGTTTCTGATTTTTATTAAATAATAACAATTGTACAAAGATTTCAAGAAGATTGGTCATAGAATCTGATGAAAATGTAATAAAGACTGCTTTTAACGTTTGGATTGTGTGGTAGGATGTTCATTTATGACATTTCCATGACATATTATAATGACTCTTTCTGTTTGGGTGTGGACCATGTGGATC